GGCTGTCTAAATGGTGAAATCAACTTCCAGTACCATAAGAGTTGCCTCTTCCTCTGAGACTGAAGAGAAGGATGCAAGATGTGAAGTCTGATATTTCATGAAATGTATGCTTGATATATTAAATTTTCCTGTGGAATTCTAGATAAGGTCATTTGCTATAAGATTTCTTTCAGTTCATATCATCAGAGATTAGTCTGGAAATCGCACTAGATATTTCAAACAGAGGAAACTTAATACAGAGGACTGGTTCCATGGCAAATGGAGAAGCTGAGAAACTCAACAGAAGATAGTGAGGCAGTCAGAGGTTAGCAACCTCAGGAAGCTGTTACCATCTCAAGGGCTGGAAGATCAGCAAATTTTACCAAAGCCCAGAAACTAGAGCCATCTAGTTAGTGCTAACTCAACCACTGTGGGAGCAGCACAGCAGGTACTAGAAGTACAGAGGAAGGGACTGTCCAATGGGAAATGGAAACACAAAGAAGACACTGCCCAATTAAAGGGAGAAAGGGAAACACTGTCTAGCTTCACTCTTCCTCCTGCTCTTCTATCGCCCACCAGTGCCTCTCATGGTCCCACCCAGCTAGAAGCCAGCTATTAAGAGATCCTGGGCAATTCTGAGCCCCTATGAGGGTTAGCCCATCTGAAATACTGAGTGGAATAGGAGATAGACAGAAAATGCTTCTAAGAGCTAATAAGCTCTTAGTGGTTAGCTCACAGCACTAAATTTTTTAATGAATCCTATAGTTAATGAATGGAAACACAGAACTCAAGGCAAAAATGACAGAAATCCAATATGTAGAACTTTTTGTCTGGATATATATTAGGATCCTGTTTTATAATTTTCCAAGAAATTTGATTTTGATTTTGATACCTCAGGATAAGCTGGGGGCATAGGCAGAGTGAGTAACCCCATCTTATTTTACAGATGACAAAACTGGGGACTCACAAAGTTAATGACTTCCTTAAGATCAAACTGCAAGACAATGGATAAGCAAGACTTCCTGGGAAGATGCCTTGTCCTTACCTTGCACTGCCTTTTATAAAGCTCCTTTGAGATGCTGTCATTAAAAATTTAAATAATAGTTCATCCGGAACAAACATTTATTTCACTTGTAGGTGAATATCCCAAAACATATTTTATAAAGAAATTTAACCATATTCAACCTTAAAATTTTAAAGATAGGTCTATGCACTCACTTTTATTTTCCAAGTTAAAGGGAGACATTTAGAGAGCATTTGTAAACAATGTCAATAAAACAGAGAGCCACTTGCTTTGCATTCAATAAAAGGGCTCATACTGTGGTGAATATAGTTTGATTCCTTAAAAATAGTAGTAGAAACCCTAGCAGTACTAATAATGATGATGATTATAATTATAGCTAATATTTATTTAATGCTTTGGGTATGCCAGACACTTTTATAAATGTTCCCCCTGAATTTTTTAAGTTAGTCATATTACCTTTCCAGGTAGATACTATTACTCTTCCCACTTAATAAAGGAGGAAACTGAGGCACAGAGAAGATAATTAACTGCCCTATTGTTCACATAACTACTAAGTGATTAGGCCAGGATTCAAACTCAGCAGGCTCATTCTAGTGCCCAGACTTTATTAACTAGTCTTTCTCTTCCTTGCATCTTTTCTCCCATGTAGGGTTAATATCCTGAAAATAAGTTCTTACAAATAAAAAATTAGAGAAGACAAGCATTAAAATAGAAAAAAATACTACTGAAAATTCTTGAAATTAATTCAGCTTGTCTCATATTCCACAATCACTTTTCTGCCTAAAATACTGAGTATAAATCCGAGCCTGTATTATAGCAGTATCATATTAGGTTTGAATATGAAATATTTCTTTCCTGGCTGGGAACACAATCTTTTGGGGATTTAGTGTTTTATATTTTTCATAGAAAGCACACACACACACACACACACACACACACATGCACACACACATACACACACATATACATACACCCACAAAGTCAATCTTTTTTTAGAGGCTAGTGTTCACAGTATTTTAGATTTCTTCACACACCATGATCACTGCACAAACAATTCCCTGTAGTGTACATCATTGTAAATGGAATTCAGAAAGAGAAAAGGGTGTGTGTGAAGTCTATTGTAGTTTTGAATTTACACTCCTTCTGAGGTCTGGAGTTATTCCAGTAGTAAATTTCAAAGTGGTAAGCAAAGCTGATCAAGGTCATGGTTCCTAGTGGAAATGACACTTGGGTAAAGACCAAAGTGATCAGCATATTACCTTAGAAGAAAGAGAAACCAGTCCACCTGATGCATGTCTTTAAGAAGGGAGAAAAGAAAGCTGTGGTTAAGAACTTTTGTGTTTAAAAAAGGCCTTAGCCCTCTCAATGTTAGTCAAGGTCAGTGGGAGTTTTTCTTTTGAATCCTACCTCTTCGCAAAACCTGGGCTGCATTCAGTGAGGGTTAGTGCTCAGTCAAATTTCCTTAGGTATAAAAGTCTTAACTTTATTGCGAATACAATTTTGGAGAAGAATTTATGGCATGCACATTTTTGCTTTTCAAGCATTAAAGTATACCAAAAAGCCATGGTTTGAAGACAAGCCTCACTCTTTTACTACCTTTTTACTATAAAGTCAATAATTTAGCTTGTTATTTCCTTCAGAGATTTTAGAAAATTCTAGCATACTTTGCAACTTATAATTCTAGGTATTTTATGATCTATAGGTTATTTTTTAGACTCATTGGTACATCCTGTACATTCTTTTAATTTTTAACAGCTTTATTGAGGTGTAATTAATATACAAAAAATTGCACATATTTAATGTATACAATTTTATGGGTTAGAGTACAATAATATGCCCAGGAAACCATCTAAAGAGTATATGCTCTTATATCTAGACTTTTCAAATAGCAACCCATGAATGAGGAGTGATTTCCAAGATTATTTAATTTGTTAAGGGAAAGTAAATGATTTTAATTTTATAGTTGTTAAAACTTTTATTTTTATTGTGTATTCCTAAACCTATACACATATGCTCTGATGTTTGTTTATCATAAGTACTTATTTAACAATTGAATCCTTTCAAAAAATGAACAGCTTGGAAAAAGGTAACCAAGTTATTGGTCTCAGTTTTGTGGATGTTTATGCTATCAGTTAGAGATTTAATAGATGATAACAGATAATATAGAAGAGTATAAAAGGAAAGGTAGGCATTCCACTAGGAAAGATTTAAATTGCTTTGGATTAGCAGCAACTATGCTCTGTACCTTTAGAAATTTTCTTCTGCTTTTGTAGCAAAAGTCAGTGATATTGCCTTTAGCTTCTTGGTAATATTAATAGTTTGGTAATCTGGGTCTATTTGCTATGTGCAGTAAATGCTATTATTTAGTTTGATTCGAGAATAGAATGTTCTAGTTAACTGAGAAATGCCAGATTATACACATATTTTATATTTTCAATTACGGGAATCCAACCAAACACACTGAAATTACACTAATACTAGCATTTGATTTTTATTATGTAAACATCATGCTAATGCAAAAGGACAAATATTAAAATAAAATGATTTTTCTTTTTAGAAACATCTCTTGTTTTCAATTTCTCCTGTTCCCCTTCTACTTCATGACTATGTATTCTTTCAGAATTAAGAAAACACGGTGTAGATAAAGATTGCTTTCTGTTTTTTACACAAGAAAATTGTGTTTTTTACAGCTATTTCTGTGTTCATTTTCTACATATTGGACCATTGGACTGATGTATTGCTCTTTTAATGTCCCTACATTAAATATTGAAGTTGTTTTTCTTTAACTATTTAAGTTAATTAAGACTTTTAATCTTCTTTTCAATATTTGATTAGGATAGAGTACCAAAACTGAGATTACTAGGTCAGTGGGAATAAACATTTGTATGTCACTTGGTACCTATTGCCAAATTATCCTAATAGATACTCTTCCCAGCAGTAGTACCAGAATATGCTAATTTTACCCATCTTTTCAGCTTTGGAATTTATTTTCTGCTAATTTTATTGCTGTCAGATTGTACCTTCTTGGTTTACTATTCTATGTTTTATTACTTGAAAAGTAACTTTTTCTTTTATATATAATTATTTTATTATTTATTTTGTTTGAATTGCCTGTTCCTATTCCTCTGTTCATTTATCAATGGCTTAACCCATGTTGGGTTTGACATAACTATTTTAACAATTTAATATTATCTTAATGCTTACATGCCTCCTCTGAGCACTTGCAGAAGTGTTTAATAGAAATTTCAAGTTGATTCCAAATTCTGTGAAATCAAGAAAAAAAAGAAATTTCAGATTGATATGCTTCCAGATAAACTTATTATTGGTCAACTTCTTTCTTTGAAATATTTTTTCAAGTGATGAAATGGCTAGTTTGATAACAATTGCCAAAGACAAACAAAGAAGAACACATAGGTGATTTGGTTTATCAAGATCTTATATTTTGACTTGTATTCTAATTTGAAATTAGTATATTTTCAAAGTATTATGAGCCTTCAAAAAAGTTGATAATTAGATAATAGTACTGTTTTTTTGTTCGTTTTCTGTATGCAGGTTTAGTTGAATGCCAGTAGATGGCACTAATTACATAAACAATTCAACAAGTTAATGAGTGAAAGGAATGCATGAGATACATTTTTTCTGTTCAGACTTTGTTATATGTCACATACTCAACAATTATATAGGAGCTTATTTTTACAGTTTGCTCTGTCTTGTGATAAAAACAGTTTAATCCCACCTTATTTCCAATTAATTGCTACTAAATTAAAATACCTGATATTGATTATTGCTGAAGATACTGCATTTGAAAAGTTTTGTCATAAAACGTGGATTAGCTTATACAGTCATGATGAACTAAATCACATGGTAGATTAAAAGCAATTATGTAGATATGTTCTGACCTGATTCAGGAGCAATTTATGAAGTATTTTAAGAAACTTCAACTAGAGTTTTCAGGAAAAAAATTGACATTCATTCTCTGTCCCATACAAATCTATAGCAATTGGCCAAAGACCTCCGCCAGTGGCAGATAAATGTAGATGTGGCAAATGACTTGGCCCAGAAACTTCTCCGGGATTATTCTACAGATGATACCAGAAAAGTAAACATGATAACAGAGAACATCAATGCGTCTTGGGGAAGCATCCATAAAAGGTATGAATTACATTATTTCTAAAACGATTGTTGGCTATAAGTTGGGGTGGTGACACTGGATGGACAACCCAGACTTGTTTTCTCATTTCTGCTAAACTAGAGCTTGGGAGGATCCAAGATAACAAATGCCAACTAAACTCACAGGCTTGGCTCAGTCTCCTAACCTAAAGATGAGGAACCTGAGGTCTGGTGAAATTAAGTGATTTGTCCACAGTCACAAAGGCAGTGATATAACCAAGTGATTAGACAAAAACAAAATATGATTTGTAGCTAGAGGAGCCATTTATCAGTCTGCTTTGAGAACTCTACCCAAAGAGATATCTTTCTGTCCCACCATGGCACATGCTGCCCACAACCTTAATCTGAAAAAGAAATCACTTTGGGCTTCAATGATAGAGTTACAGCTGATTGTGTTTCATGCCACACACCCAATGGGAAAATTCATGTAGAGTAATATGACACATCATTTCATTTCACATTATATATCTATGGAAACTAACAACCCTCAGAGACACTATCCCCTCAAACTAGGTTCTGTCTCCTTAATATCTACTCTCTTAACCCCTTGTGCTTTTTTTAATTAGCACTTATTCCAATTACAAATAAAAATGTGAATTATATAACTAATTGTTTATTGTTTGTCCTTCAAATTAGTCTAAATTCAATGAGGGCAAAGACTGTATCTTTCCTATTTGATACATCCTCAGGGCCTGAACAAGGTGATACAATAGAGAACTAGTAAATATTTCTTGAATGATGACTCCTCTTGAGTAATGTACAGTTATGTTGTGCATGCTGTGGTAAGTTAAGGATTGTTGAATACTTATCTTGACTTGTGTCAGAAAACGGGCAAAAATGGTACCTGTACAATGATGAGGAAGACCATAGTGAAAAATAAGTAAATTCCCAAAGATGACATGAATTATTGGAAAAGTCAGTTTGATGTTTTTTATTAATAAGAAGAAAAAACAGCATTGAGAGAAAAACAAAACAGATTTTGAAGTAAGAGCAGGAAGTCTTAGGATGAATAAGCTATTGATATATGGAAATTAAGAAAACCAAGTAAATCTTGAAACCGAACTAGAGATTCAAGAGTAAAAACTCCTATGAAACTTCATTTAAGCTAGTGACCTTGGGGAATAGAGCACCTCTAGTCCTTAATTCCAGACAGTGGGCGTTCAGATGACCATGGGAAATAAAATTCAACCTAAAATTGGGGCCCTATCAAAGGAACCCTGGTAGAAAAGAGCAAACTTGAATAACTGATATTTGGAAAAAATTTGAAAATTATGACATCCTCTCAGGACAAGGTTTGGACTTTCTTCTCCAAATATAGATCTTGTATCTGTTCAATTAAACAAGGACAGATTAGGCTTGGGAAGAATTATTCACATGAAATCAATTGGTATCAGAGAGTTGATCATTAGATCTCAGTGAAAAATACCTGCCTCTCAAGGAGAAGCCTGTTTGGGAAAGCAAATTAAGATCAGAAATTAATTTGATAAGCTTAGGGAATGTAAACTAAGAAAAATACAAGAAGAAAGCTTGTTCATGGTATGAAACTAAGGCTTCAGGGAACTGATCTCTTCCATCTACACTATTTCTGGCAGATCCCTCTCTCCACATTCTTGTGCTTCTTGATGCCCAAGCAACTTTCTCAATTTTTCAAAATCATTTTATTAAATTCTTTGTATTTTTCAGGGAAAGAACTTCTAGTTTATTTTTTTTTTGGCTTGGTTCCTAAAAAGCTATCATCTAAGGAAAATAGTTACTTCCCCAATGGGTGAAGCAAATTAGAATTTTTAGAAGCCAACTCACAGTTTTAGCCCATACAGAGTGTAGAATTCATCAAGCTACTTTTGACTCATGCCTATAAAGTTCTTCCCTGTTCTTTTCTCGCTTTACATATAATCCTTGCAAATATTCATCTACTGTGTAATTTCAGTCTATTGATGACTACCCATCTGTATTTCCAGCTGAGAATAATCTTTTGAGTTTTAGACATCTATGTCCTACCGTTTCTTTTCATTTTAACATCCCACATGAACTTCAAATTGAATAGGTCCAAAGCTAAACTCATCTTTTCCCTCTTCCAACCTCTTTCTCCAAATGTAACCTATTTCTGTGGTCCCTGTCTTACTCTTTTTGTACTACTATAACAAAACACCATGGACTGGACAATTTATAATGAACAGAAATTTATTGGCTCATAGTTCTGGAGCATTTCAGCATGAATTTTGGAAGGGGGAAAACATTTAAACCATAGCATGTGCCCCTTTCCCCCTAAAAACCCATGTCCTTCTCACACACAAAATACATTCATTCCATCTCAATAGCAATAAAACTCTTAACTTGTTCCATCATGTCCAAAGTCTAAAGTCTCAGATAAATTAGATATCAGTGAGATTCAAGGCATGATTCATCTTGAGGCAAATTCCCCTCCAGTTGTCTGCCTATGAAATCAAAACACATTATGTGCTTCCAGAATACGATGGTGAGGGCTGGGCATGGTGGTTTATGCCCATGGTCCTGGCACTTTGGGAGGTTCTGGAAGGAGGATCATTTGAGTCCAGGAGTTCAAGTCCAGCCTGTGCAACAAGGGAGACTGTATCTCAAAAATAAAAATACAATTGTGAGATAGGCATAGGATAGACATTCCCATTCAAAAAGGGAGAAATAGGCAAGAAGGAGGTAACTGGTCTGAAGTAAGTCCAAAACCCCACATTAAGTCTTAAGACCCAGAATAATCTTTGACTTCATGTCCTGCCTCCTGGACACACTGGGGTAGGGGATGGGCCCCCAAGGCTTCAAGCAGTCCCAGCTTTGCTGGATTCAATCCACACAGCAGCTCTCACAGTTTGAAGTCTTGTGCCTACAGCTCTTCCAGGGTGGTATTACATGCTAGTGGGTCTAGTTCTGGGGTCTTGGGGGCAGCCCCATCGCCACAGCTCCACTAGTCCTAGTAGGGACTCTCTGTAGCAGCTCAGACTCTATAGTTCCATTGGACATTGCCCTAGTGGGGACTCTCTGTGGTGGCTCTGTCCCCGTCACAAGTCAGTAAAATCAGCAACATGTGAACACTGCCAAAGCTTACTGCTTGCATCCTCTAGAGCAGTAGCATGAGGTGCATGAGCTGCACCTTGACCCATTTAAGCCATGGCTGAGGCCACCAAGGGGCATTGTGCTATAATGTAGTGAGCAGAGACTCCAGGCAGCCCTGAGCAGTGAGCCCTTTTCACCTTCCACGCCCTAACATTCTGAGCCTATGATCGGAGAGGCAGTCTCAAAAGTCTCTGAAATCCTATTGGAGTCATCCTCCCATTGTCTTGATGAATAAAACCTGACTTCCTTTTATGCATACTAATCTGACCAAATCATATGGTAGATATCTTAGTCACACCCTTGGTATTTTCTCTCAAACATACTTTTTCATTCTTTACATGGCCAAATTGTTACATTCTGCTTCCCTTTTAGTTATATATTCCATCATTAAATCATTTCTCTCTTCTCTCATTCTACTGTATGCAGTTATAAGAAGCCACACTGCCCCTTTAATATTCTGCTTAAAAATTTTTCTGCTACATATCCTAGTTTATGGCTCGTAAATTCTGCCTTTCATAAAGCCCTAGCACATGGACACAATTCAGCCAAATTATTTGCCACTTTCTAACAACTATGACCATTGTCTCAGTTTTCCAATACTTTGTTTCTGATTTTTGTCTGAGACCTCATCAAAATTGCCTTTACCATCTATATTTGTACCAACACTCTGATCATAGCCACTTAAGTAATCTCTAAGTTTCAGACTTTCCCTATGTCTCTCCCCTTCTTCTGAGCTCCCAAAATCACTCTTAACAATCTGTTTATGGAGATGTAGGCTTTTTTTTTAGCCAGCTCCTCCAAATTCTTTTAGCTTCTGCCCATTACTCAGTTCCAAAGCTACTTCCACATTTTCAAGTATTTGATATAGCAACAGCTCTACTTCTCAGTACCACTTTTCTGTCTTACTCTGTTTTGTGCCACTATAATGGAAACTTGAGATTAGGTAATTTGTAATAAATAGAAATTTATTGTCTCACAGTTTTGAAGATTGGGAAGCCCAAGATCAAGGGGCAAGAATCTGGCAAGAACTGTCTCATTATGCATCATGCCATTTCATGGCAGAAAGCAGGAAGGGCGAGCGAGGGAGAAAAGAGAGTAAAGAGAGCAAAACTTGTTCTCTTATAAGGAACCCACTTCTGTGAAAACAAACTCATTCATGACAATGGTATTAACTCCTTCATGAAGGCAGAGCCCTCAAGGCCTAGTTTCCTCTTAGTTTCCATTTCTTACTACTGTTATAATGGCAATTAAATTTCAACATGAGTTTCGTAGGGGACAAACATTGAGACCGTAGTAGTCCCTATCTAGTAAACATTACCACAACCCATTCAGTTGTTCAATCCAGAAACCTGATTCTCATGTTTCCCTCTTCTTTCTGCAACTCCCATAGCTAAGCTATCACAAATCTATTTACTCCCTAAATTGTTTCAAATCCAGTCACTTCTCTTTATCTCTATTCTTCAATTGAATGACCTCCTCATCACCTAACTGGTTTCCCTCCTTATAATGGTCATCCTACTTCTCACTCATTCTCTGCCTAGAATCTAGGACGATCTTTCTAAATACAGTATATTTATGTAGCTCACCCTTTCTCTCATTTTCAAAGCCATTAGTAGCTTATCCATTGCTACTTGAAGACAGTCCGCACTCCTTTAAATTACTTCAAGCTCTTGCATGATTTGGCCTTTTCTTACAGCTCTAGCCTAATTTCCTGCTTTCCCTAGATCTTCCCCCTCTTCCTCCCACACAGAATTAAGTATATTGAGCTATTTTCATTTCCTCATTGCTACATCCTGTCTTCTCAATTGCCTACTGACCTGATACATATCGTTCCCTATTCTTTGCCTGCTTAAATGCTAGTCACTATCCAGGTCTCAGTGTAAATGCCAATTCCTGCA